GCAGGAAACACACATCTCCTGGGACTCCAAACGGTTGCTAATATCTGCCCCTATACTGTATCACCACACGTGACGTTACAAATCACTGGACTCACAAGTGCTCAGCTGGCTGTGGCTCTTCCGAGCACATACACAGAGGTGGCTAATCGGAACCATCCATTATGGGACGGCAGGCTTGTTTCAGGCCACCGGCCATTCACGGTGATGGATGTGAGCCGAGGCTAAAGGAGAGACAGGGAACTGCAGAGACCTTTAGGGTGTGCGAACAGATTAAGTAAGTCATCTACAGCATTATAGTTCTACATGAAAATGCACTGATGCATGATCACTGTGCAATGCATACTCCCTCTGTTGGTGTGCTAAATAAATCCTGGACTAATTTAACTACTTAAGTCTGCACATCCTCTCAGAGTTTTGTAATGTAATCCTTAGCTACAGGTTTAATTCTGCACATGCCTTGACAATGAAATATTAACATGCATCAATTGACAAAAACTCTCTRAGGGGAAGTGCAGAAAATTAATCTCATCTTGTTTTTATCTTTCTAATCAGTAAGAATTACATTAATGCGGCAACACTAAATGACATCCATTTTAATGTCTTAGCCAAACTGGCTGGWTCGAGATAGAAATCCTGAATGACAAATCCTTGCTGTATGGTTTTTGTAGAGCTGTTATATTGACTTGAGGCACACAGGAGAGCCTGTACAGCCCCACAGTGGTGTGAGAGCCAGTAAAACAATGACAAGCCCTATCTATCCACCCCAGGGTGGCTCCTCCGAAGTCTGGAGTATTAAACTGAGCCCTGAGATAAAGAGGCTTCTCACACAGCTCAGCCATCAGGGGAAAATGTGTTCAGTCTCCTTATGTATTCCACTCGTGCTGCATATTGTTTGATATAATCAACATGGACCAGGGGGTACTGTGCAGCACTCCAAACACACAGCCCTCCCAAGGGTAATATAAGACTCACCAACGCTGATGCGATTTATGCAGATTTTAAAACTTGGCTATGTGTAACATGTGAAGTACTTTATTTTTTTTCTCCAAATTTTGGAAACATGTGAAACATTTAAAGGGTTGCTGTGTGAGCATAAAGCACACTGCTGTTGTAAACATGTGTACACAGTGGGGTAAACTGTTGCTATCGAGGAGAACATTTTGCCTTTTTTTTCTGTTTTGCAGAGACAAACTGTGCGAGAAGCTGACTAAATGGTTGTGCTTCACCTCAGATGCATTACGTTACCCACACAAGCCATCTCACATCTCAGTGCAGACTTGAAGTGGGAGCATATAACAGTTTAACACTCTATATGGTTTTTTCCCCCCTGTCTGGCAGCGACTCAAGAGGCCTCGGAAAGTGGAAAAAAAAAGTTCCACATGTCTGAACCAAGATATGACTTTACATACCAATGGAACTGCCAGAGTGTTGCAGGTTTCCAAAACACTGGATTTATTTTCAGAAATAAGTCTGTCATAAAAAAAAGTGTTAGTAGGGGGGCACAACCTCACCCCACTCCTTCATTTTGGCATTCACGCACGATGAGGTTGAGGTGGAGCCAAAGCTATTCCCATTGGCGTGAAGGCTGCGTTYAGTATTTGACAGCAGGGTACTGGAAGATTTGATGGGTAATGTAAATCATGGAAAATGCCTGAGTGGAGAAAAGGGGAGGGGAGGGATACAGCAGAGAGATTCTATCAGGACTCAAATCCTCAAAATGCGGCTTTGAATAAGAATGAAACAGATAAAGCTGCTAGGAGCCATCGTAGAAGATGTAATATTAGTGGGGGGAAAAACAGATTTGGCAATACTGTTCTTTGAAATGTCAGAAGATGTCAGCGCGTGTGGACCTGTGCTTCGGTTGAATTTAAAGAATCGGGCTGTTGCTTTCTCTTCTGTTAGAGCTACCTAAGCGGTGCGGTGTGTGGGCGGGGTGTCGGAACAGTGTAGGTGACTTCAGGTCTTATCACTGTTGAAAGCAAAATTGGATAAGGGAGTCGATTTTGGTGGGATGCTGCAGAAAGTTGTGCTTCTGCTTCACTGTCTGCCGCGGTCAGGAGGTTAATTCCATGAAACGTGTGGGAAGAGCTGCCAAATTACATCCTTCCTTTTTTTTACTGACATCTTTAACACGGCTGCATGTTTAGAGAACCGCTACTACCACTGCTACTACAACAAATCAAGGCGAAGCGCTTTCTTTAACAACGCAGCTGAGCTGATCAATACGTTGGCTTGATGATTTATTTCGTCCGAGCGTTCCAAACCYGCTGTAATTTGCATATGCTTTGGCATTTACACCCAATAAGAAAAAGGGAAAGAATGCTTGCAGGAATGTGAGGGAGTATCAGTATTCAGCTGCTCTCCACCAGAGGGGATTGGTGGGTGGGTGGTAGGGGAGAGGAGCGCCGATCACTCCTCTCTGCTAATTAAAACTAACGACTCCAGGTGCCGTACGGTGCCGGGCAGCGGAACCGCCGGGCGGCTTGTTTGTGTTGGTGGTTTGCCTTCATTACCACCCCCATCCATTCTCTTTAGAAGCCCACTACAGTATCGACTCCAATCCCACCACACAATGTGCATTGCGAGAAAGAAAAAGGAGGCGATCTAAATGCAAATTCTTAGGTGTGATGCATTATAAAAGTGTGTGGAGAGGTGATGTGTGCCGCAGGAAGAAGATCCTTTCTTCAAGCAGAAGAGGTAATGTCTTGATTATGGCTGCAAGTCACTGGCAGTGGTGGGTTTCTAAATGCTCTTCAAATGCTTTTAAATTGTGGGGGCGGGGAGGGTGAGGGTTGTTTCTCTGCAGCCGAGAGGTCAATTAACATATTTTATCCTCAACCTTTGAGTTATTTGGTGATCAATGGAAGACAGGAGGAGAGTAAGAGTGTTATGTCTGTTCCCATGTCGGTTCATGTCCTTCTCTTTAAATCACACCGTCTCAAGAGCCTGTTGGCAAAACTGACATAAACACACATATGCATGCTGTGAAACAGAACCAAGGCTGCTCAGCATAGACCCACAGTTTTAAAAATAATAACAATTATTATGCCTCCACCCGAGGAGGCATGCTGGTATGTTTGGTTGTCCATCTGTGCGTTACTCGGTGCAAAAGTCCCTCCATCACGCTATCTTGTGTGCAATGTATCTCCTGAACAGAGATATTGATATCGGTCGGAACTAACATGATAATTGTTCTTGGCCCGTCAGAGGTCTGAAKCATTTTGGGGTCAAAGGTCAAAGCTGGAGGTCAAAGTCATCTTTGTTGCTTGAATATCCTTATTTTGGATGTTACTCATGAGTGGTTGGTCACTGACATTAATGATGTGGTACATATAAAAGAGGAACTCATGTTAATACTGTGTTGATATAGTTACATACTTCTTAGAATATTTAAGTCCAAAAATAAAGGTCAACAGGTAACTGGATGCCCAGTGCTTTCAATGCAGATGAGTCCAGGGCAGGCAGAGGCACACCAGTGTTGGCATTGAGTTATTATAACTTGTTTCTTTTACTTCTGGCACTGTCAGAAAGTTTCTAACAATAATTCTGGTAAATAAACATGAAATAAAATTTGTTTAAAGGGGACTTATTATGCAAAATTTACTTTTTTAGCTGTTAAATGCATTTTTTGTGTGTACTTGGAGTCTCTACACTCAAAAAACGTGTTGGATTTACTTAACCAAGTTATGTCAACAATGTCCACTCAAGTGAGTTACTGTAAGTAAAAGTAAAGCAACTTTCACATTTTCTTTAAAAATAAATACGAACGTTGCTTTATATTTACTCAACTGTTAAGAGACAGCCTCAAATCGAGTTGATCTGAGACACACTTGGCTTGTAGAGCTACGATAAGGAAGAAATCAGAGTCCAAAGCATTGCAGTTCCACTTTATATAGACCTCAGCTGAATGATTTAAATGTGAAAAATTAGGATTTCAAAGCAGGATGCGTCTCCTTTAAAGAGGATCTTATTCGTTTAGTTTATGTTGAAGCTTTACCTGCATTAACACGAAGTTGACATTCTGAAATAAAAAGCTGTGGAGAAAAGCAAAATGTTAAAAATGACAAACTCCTCTGTGATCTAACTGAAGCAATATCCCGTATCTCCGAGCGAAAGAGGTTGTGCTTGCTGCATTTCTTTTCCCATCAAAGTGTTTCCTCTGTGCTGGAGACAATAAAGAGCCAGCAGTCAGTGGCCACAGTAAACACACTGCAGTCTGCAGAACACTCAGTGCTGGTGGAAAGCTTTTAGATCTTCTTGTGTTATTTTTTTTTTTTTTTTTTGTAGTGCCACACTTAGAAGTTAAAATAGACTTAATGTGACTTTTTATTACCAATGCATACA